GGGGCAGCACCCCAGGGGTCACGGTACCGGCACCCTAGCGCCTCCTGCTGCGCGCGACAGCGACCCAGGCCCGAGTGGGCCCTGGGACCCACCTGGCGGACGCGTAGCAGGAGGAGCCGGCGATGCGCGGGGGTGGGGCGCCGACCCTGGAGCGAGAACCAGCCTAGGGCAGCGGGAGAGCGGGGCACCGAGATCCCAGCGGACACGTCCCCAGGGCCTTCCCTCGCATCTGTCTCCGCACCCTCTCGGGCCTGTCGGCACCCTTGTCCCTAACCCTGGTTTTTCCTAATGGCACTTGGCAGCCTGGCGCTCTCGCAGGGGTCTCATGCCCTGCAGGGGGGCTTCCTGCAATAGAATTGCAGCTTTGGCTCAAGCTTTTCTTCAGGGCCTAGACAGTGCTTGGCACAGACGCCTTTATGAATTCATGGAGCAGGAAGTTAAAGGACTCGCTCCTCCCAGGTGGATCAGAGAGTAGGGGGTCCCCTCTGAGTCCTGCTTGAGCAGAGATGCCCCTGGGGGAGCTGGCCTGCTGCCCCCCAGGTTTCAGGTGAGAGGAGAGGGATGGTGATGGAGCCAGCAGATGCTGGGGTCGCCATTCTGGCTGGAGGACGGCGGCCTGGATCCCTCTGCAATCCCACTCACTTAGAGGTGCCCAGGTTTGGACTCAGAGCCGGCCCTCAGCCAGGCCCTCTGAGACTCTGGATGGGGCTGTCCCATCCCCCTCCTGCTGTGGAACCCAGCCCCACTGAGCAGAGCTGATGCGCACCCGGTCCTTGGAGGATAAGCCTCTGTTTCCTGAACTCCCTATCTGGGCTTGCAGGGTCCTCACTTCTTTCCCTTTCTGTTTTACTCGCCCCTCTTTTATATCAAATCCTCTGAAAGTGAGGCCGGGGTGGTGAGGACAGCAGCTTTTCCAGCCGGAGACCTTGGGCAGGAGAGGGACCCTGAGGGAGAGAATGAGGAGCACTAGTCACTTTGATTCCACCATTTTTTAAAAACAATTATTTAACTTTATCTATGTATGTATGTATTTTAATGTGACCAAAGAGGGACAGAGAGACGGAAAGTAAGAAAACAAGCTGCCAGGTCTGGGACTCGAACCCTGATTGGCCATGTGGAAGTCCAGTGCCCCCAACCACCGCCACCTGCCGGCCCCTGATTCCGTCCTTGGTGATTTCCCTCGTGAACCCTTATCAGCTATTTCTCCAGACATGTTAAGTTCATTCCTTTCTTTTATAAGAAAGAGGCACCCTCATCTGGGTCTCACGCCACAGTCCCACCAGGTCTCGCAGCCTTCCATGGTCGTGGGTGTGTGCCTGGCCAGTACAGGTCAACCAGGGAACTGAACCCACATCTCCCATGTGGATCCAGCATCGCTTGAGTCCCATGTTACCACCGCACCGCCAGGCTGGCCCCCTCCAATTCTCTCTCTCTCTCCTTTTACTATAAGGTGTATGCTCACCACAGACAGGAGACGGAGAAGGAAAGTGAGAAAGCACCCCCGGGGGATGGCCACACCGCAGTCTCTCCTCCATTCTCCTTAGAGATGTTGAGAAACAGGTTTCTGGCATGCTTCTCAAGCCACTGGGTCCAGGCCTCAAACTACACAGTCAGCCATGTGAGATCCAGCCGCCTTGGCCTCTGTGCCATCTGCCGGATCCCCTCCAGTTCTTTATAAAAGGACGATGCTGGGCTGGCCTTCTCGTGGTTAAGGGAGCCAGATCCCACATGGCCTAAGGGAGCCAGATCCCACATGGCCTACTGCAGCCAGAATCTCAGCTCAGCTGCCTGGGGGTAAAAACAGAACAAAAGAAATGAAAACAGAGCAAACCAGAAAACCCGCTCCTGGTGCATCCGCATACCCAGAATCTCAACAGGAAAGAGAAATGGAAGAGAAGAGATTGCAGCGCCGCCACCCCCAATTGAGGGGTCGCTTTCTCCCTCTTCCTCTCTCTGTCTCTCTGTCTCTCTCTGGTGAGTGCATGCACCCTCTGGCAATGAAGAATGAAAAGGGAACAATGTTAAAGTTTGGATAATGGCTTGGCCCCTAAATTTCATGTTCTGAAATTTGGTCTTAGGGGGCAGTGAGTGGACGTCCCCTGAAAGTTCACGTGTGGGGACTGACTTATGTGATAAAGTGAACATGGTAACCTAGGGCTGGGCTTGGGTTGTGATAAAGTTAGGGTGGGAGAGCAGGGGGGCACCACTGGGTTCTGGGGTGTGTGCTGAGGAGAGGGAACGAGGCCGGCAGAGCCCACTTGGCTGCAGACCAGAACAAGGAGAGGCTCACGGCGACTCTGCACAGGAGCCAGCTCGTGTCGTGCCGTGCAGCAGCCTCCCCAGAGCCGGCCAGCCCAGGCCAGTAAACCACCCCGTCCTGGGGCTGCCAAAAGTCAGGCAAGAGCAGACGTAGAAATGACTTCTTTACCACTTCTTATTCTAAGATGCCTGCCACGGGGTAGACAGTTCCGACTGCCCCCAGGCACTGTGCAGTTTACCCTGACTTTTACATACTTCTCAGGGTTTTCGCGTACCCCACAGCCTAGCAAGGATGGCATAAACCCCATTTAATCGACGAATTCCCAGAGAAAGGAACCGATCTGCCCAGGACCAGAGCTCATATCCAAGGGGTCTCCTCCAAATTCAGTTAGCTTCTACATCAGAGACATGTTATTATTCTCTCTCTTTTCTAATTTGCCGAAGGGTTAGGGGTCAGCAGGTGGCATGATGGTTAAGGAACTGGACTCCCACCTGGCCAGCTGTGATTTGAGTCCTGGACCTGGTGGCTTGCTTTCTCACTTTCCCTCTCTCTCTCTGTCTCTCTCTAGTGAAATGTGAAAATAAGCATAATAGGGTCAGCAGGTGGCATAGTGGTTAAGGTGCTGAACTCCCACACGGCCAACAGCAGTGGAGTCCCAGACCAGGCGGCTTGAAACTCAACTCCAGCCCGTGTGTGTACATGCTCAAAACCCTGAGCATGGAGGAGAAGGGAGTACGGCGCGGCCACCCTCCCTGGGGTGGTTTCTGACTTTCTCTCTCAGTCTCTCTGGCGAACACAGTAGCAAAAAAAATACCGATAACCTGATAGCAAAAATCTCTCTAAATAAATAAATAAACAATACAATTTCTTTTAAAAAATTGCCAAGACCAGCAGATGGCCTACTGGTTACATCTCTGGACTCCCATGTAGTCGACTGCAGTTTGAGTCCCAGACCTGGCGACTTAAAACAACAGGTGCGCATGTGCGTGCGTGCCCAAGATCAAGAGAGGAGAATGGAGAAGGGGTTGACGAAGGGATTGTGGCATGGCCATCCACCCAGAGGGGTGATTTCTCACTTTCTGTCTCTCTGTTTTTCCTGTAAGGGCACCTGCCCTATAACAAAAATCTCTCCCCAAAAAAAAAAAAAAGCCCAAGGGCGCATGCATTCGCTGGAGACAGAGAGAGAAAGGGAAAGCAAAAAAGTACCCCCCGTGGGGTACAGTCACAATCCCGTCTCATCAGTCTCTCCTTTTGGGATTTTGGGCGCACATACCTGGTGTGTTTTTCAAGCCACTGGGTCTGGGGCTTGAACTTGAACCATGTGGTAGGCCTTGTGGGATCCAGTCGCCTTAACCACGAGACCACAGGCTGGCCATCAGAGATTCTTAAGAGAGAGAGGAACATGTGCTCGTCTCCCTCCCTTTCCCCAACCCCCCTAGAATTTTCAGGGAAGGGACATGTTTTCTTTGAAGAAACATGTTCCATGTTATTATGCAATATTAGAGTATTTCTTTCTAAGAGAGAGGTCCACTGCTTTTCTCATGTATACCAGCTTTCTTCCTGGTGCCAAGAAGCTCTCACCCACCCCCAGACCTTGAGAACATCTCAGGGCAAATCCCGAGTGCCAGACGGGAGTCAGGGCAGCGCGTGTCGGAGCTCAGGGGAGCCAGGGTTCCCGTGGGTCGGGGTTGGCTGGCAGTCTCCCTCGAGAGAGGCAGACTTAGTCGAGAGCAGATTTAAACCTAGGGGACAAGACAGGGAACATGTTATTCTGGGCACTCGGGCATGGACGGGAGTCGGGTTTGGCAGGTTGTTAGGGAAGACGAGAAAAGGCTGGAGAGACAGGCTAGGTGGGGTTGGCGGGGTCGGAATGGCAGACGGAGAGATTGGGGCTTTCTCCTGCAGCCTTGGGGAGCTGTAGCAGGCTCTAGAGCAGGGGAGTGCCTTGTGCAGTCTGGTGTTTAGGAAGGCTCATTTGGCACTGTGGAGTAGCCCCTGGAGTGAGGGAGGCCAGGCCAGAGACTGTCTCGGTTCCCTCCAAACCAGAAGATACTGGGGTGGCTGGCAGGGGGAGAGGCCGTGGGATGGATGGGGGTGACAAAATAAAAAGGCTCGAACAGGCAGTTCAGCGAATAAAATGCGTGCGTGGCAGGAGCACGTGAGAAGATTCTTCCCATCGTTGGCCGTCAGAGAGGGCCAGCCCCGAGATACAGTGGGGAAATGCTGTGTGGAGGGAGCCAGATCCCTGACGGTGGTTCAAATCCCAGCCCTGGCGACTTGAAGAACACCCCATGCACATGCCCACACTCCCAGATCTTGACAGGATGGAGAAATGGAGGAAGACAGGATTGCACGTGACCAGGCTCTGCTGAGGGATGCTGCTCGCTCGCTCACACACACCTGTGCCCTCTGGCATTAAAAACAACAGCGATGGGACCGGCAGAGGGCACAGTGGTTAAGGCCCTGGACTCCCCCATGGCTGACCGCAGTCTGAGTTCCAGACCCAAAACTTTGAAATTCACACCAGGCACGTGTGTGTGTGTGTGTGTGTGTGTGTGGCCAAAATCCCAGGAGAGGATAGAAAAGAAGGGATTGCAGCATGGCCATCCCCTCGGAGATGTCTCACTTTCCCTCCCTCTGTCTCTGTCTTTCTCTCTCTCTCTCTGGCAGGTGCACATACCCTATGACCAAAAAGAAAAAAAAATCTTACAAAACAACAACAACAACAATGAATGGCTAAAATTAAGCAGCTGAGCAAGACCGCGTGTTGGCCGAGTGCAGCCACTGGCCCCTCATTCACCGCTAATGAGCGTTTAGGGTAACACCGCCCTCCAGAAAGCAGTTTGTCAGTGTCTTACGAGGTTAAATACATACCTGCCCTCTGACCCTGCGCTTCCCCTCCC